ACATGGTGCCACGATCAAACCCAAAACTCGCGAGATCGCGCAATGCGCACGGCGCAGGTGCATGCACTGCACCTAGCCCGCCCATGATAGTGATTTTCGCCGTTGTCGATGGGATGCTCTTCACTCACGGAGAGGGAAACCTGAACCGCTCCGAATATGCAGAATTTGTTCCTGGAGCTACGACGAGCTCAGGCGATCGCAAACATGGATCAAGGGGGCGTGGATTAGCGACGGGTCCCGTTTCCACTGGAAATCGCCGGTTTCCGCCGCCGAAAGAGGCGGCACCGGCCGCATTTTGGGAAGGGCACCTCCCCCGATCCATGGATGTGGCGACCGCGCGCCAAATCCATGGATCGCTGATCCATGTCTGCGCGCCCCCTACGAGCGCATCGCTCGAAGCATCCCCGCCCATTTTCTCGCGCAGCAGACGGACCGGCGAAGCCTCAAGAGCGCCTCGCCCGGGCCATCCCGACAGCCTGGCCAGGAGCGGGCGCGCGCGCCGCCCTCCCAGGCGGATGGCGGATGCCTGAGACAAGTCGTCAGAGGGAACCTTAAAGAAGCCAGCACACCAGAGAAAAAAACCCTATCAGTGGATGGTCTTCGCTGGGGGGATCGCCTCGGAGCCCGGGAGCCCGGGAACCCAGAGCCCACCGAAATCGGCCCGGAACCAAGAACCGGGAACCCGGGAACCCGGGACCGGGAACCCGGGGAACCCAGCTTGCTACCAACATCGGCGGGAAAATTTCGCTAAATTTTTGAGTTTCCGCTAGGGCCCCTTCAGTGCAAGCAGTGATTGGGGAAATAGATAAATGTCAGAAAACCGATACGAAACTTGGAGAAATTCTTTGAAAACCCATGGCAACCCAAAGAAACCCGTCGACACCCAGAGGAGATCGGTGAAATGCCAAAATGGAATCCCGCAGGGACCTGGAGGAAAAATGAGGATTTAGACAGGACGTTCGAGGGCCAAGAAATCCATGGGGAAGTTGCAGGATAATACGGGGAACAAAAAGACAGGCATCAGCAACCTACGGAATTCCATAAGGCAATTGCAGGATACCATAGGATACGTAAGGGAACCGATCAGAAATCTGCAGCAAAACATAAAAGAAAAACTTGAAATGTTTTTTATGAAGCCGCGCCGTGGAACCTCATTGTCGCTTCCGCTGGCCTTCCGCGGGCGCTTCCGCGCTGCTTCTGCGGAGCATCCACCGTGACATGGAAGGCGGAATCCATGTGAATTCCATTCGGAATCCGTAAGAACATTAGAACCCAGCCGTGACGTCCACCATAGGGAAATTTGATCGCGTAAATAAAACACACCCGATAATCCATGGGACATCTGAGGGAGGCCGATGGGGAATTGAAAGAAACCATGCAAAGCGCGCGAAGACTCATGGGGCAACCGAGGGAGCCCGCGGGCTACCTGAGGAGATCCCTCAGAAGCCACCAGAAAAACGCCAAGACAGCTCCAGGAAATCTAGAGGCACGCGGTGGAAAGTGCGAAGTCTGCAACAATCTTCTTTGTGATGTGTTTGAGCTTGCGCAGTGGAGTTGCGACGGCATCTTCCCTCTGACGGTTGTTGGCCCTCGAGGTCGCTATGAGCCAAGTGGTGTTGTAGCACACGTAACTAGCTTCCTTGCACGCGCGCGACAGTGCCTGCGGACGGACCAAACAAACAAACAAAAAAAAAACGAACGTTCCATGATGCCCACCGGACCGCACGGCGGGGGTGCGGACACCCCACCGCTGTTGCCGCCGGCCTCCCGCGGGCGCTCCCGCGCTGCCCCTTGCGGGGCCTCCGCCGCGGGGCGGGCCGCGAGTCGGACCGCTGAAGGAAGTCCGCGGGATGGCCTGAAAGAAGAGGAAAACCATACGTGCAACAGAAGCCTCGGAGAATCCCAGAGGGCATGTATGTAAAAAACAGGTGTATGTATATAAGAATGTATGTTCAAGGAACACGTATCATACACATGTATGAAAAAAAAACATGTATATAATTTGTGACGCCAGCGGATGCACACTGGCACGTGAGGCAAAATCCCATGCAGAGCACGCAGGAATCCGCGAGGGCGCCTGAATAAAAAACCCCGGGCGCTGGAGGCGGCGGCGGCGGCAGCGGCAGTCGGGGCCCGCGGGCGGCGGCACCACCTCCTCCTCCTCCTCCTCCCCTTTTTCTCTCCCCTTCCTCTTCTGCCTCCCTCTCCCCCCCTCAACCTCGCGAGAGCAGAGCGGGCGCGCGCGGACGACCGCATTGGCTTCAGCTGCCCTGCCGCCGTTGCTTCCGCGCCCCTTTCCGCCGACCCCAACGAACTCCCAATGCGGACTGGCGAACACCGTCGTTATTTCAACGAACGCATCGGCGACGGCGTGGATCGATCGCGGGCGGCCGCTTCACGCCCGAAGTATGTACCGCAATCAAGCACTGTTCGAGCAGGTGCTGCGCGTCACCACTCTTCACGGAAAACTCGCGGCCACAAACATGACTCCATCGTGGTGAATTTATTATTGATATTTGAAACCGGCCAGACGCAGGGCCCAACATTATCGTAGCGACTTGCTTTCGCAAACGAAGCGTCGGTTTTACGGGACGGGCGACTCGTCCAAGACGTCCCCACAATGCTGCGACAGCAAACCGGGCGGGCGCGCGCGGGTGACCACTCGGGAGCCTTGAGACGGGGCGCCAGATCCTGCAGGATCCTGCAAAGGCCCCCTCTGGCTGACCCGGGTCAGGGAGCCGCTCGTGGCCGCGAGGCGGCCGCGCGTATTGGCTGACCCGGGTTTGCGCAGACCTGCGTTGCAGTTTTTTTTCCTGCATTGCAGTTTTTGGTTTCCCGCTGACCCGGGTCTGGATTGACCCGGGTCAGAAGATCCCCGGGACCACGCTTGTTTCCGCCGCTTGTCCGCTGTTGTTTCCGCCGTTCCTTCGGCACCAACAAGCCCCCAATGCGGACTAGCAAAATCCGGCGTTCTTTTAACAGGTTACGCGTATATGCACATATACATACATACATGCATGCATGCATACATACATACATACATACATACATGCATGCATGCATGCATGCATGCATGCATACACATACATACATACATACATACATACATACATACATACATACATACATACATACATACACACATACGTACATACATACATACATACATACATACATACACACATACATACATACATACATACATACATACATACATACATACATACATACATACATACATACATACATATACACATATGTACATATAACATATAAACATATGTAAAGGTTGTTATGCATGCATTTACACATGTATGTGTGTACACATATTGCATCTACAAAATCACTCGGGCGTAGTCTACAACAGACGCGCATCGGAATGATGCTGTTTTTGTGCATAACTATTGAAACGCGCGGACGCTGTGGAGGGACGGACGACGCTGGAGGAAAGGACGGGAGGTTGAGGCAAAAAGGAGCAACCATGCGGACATTTGGCAATTCCAGAACAGATGTTGTATCCGTGTGTCCCTGTCGCCGTTGTATTTTTCCAGACGCCGCTATCGTCTCTAATTACAAACAACGGGCTTCGGTTCATGATGCGAATTTCGGCGCCCCATTCCCTCCCCGCGTTTGCGCCCCAGTCTCTCTCCTCCTCCTCGTCCACCACTTCCTCTTCCTCCCTTCCTCGCCCTGTCTTCCTCTCGTCGCAAACTCTTACTTCTGGCGCCCACGGGCGGTGCCCCCCCCCCCTCCTCCTCCTCCTCCTCCTCCTCCTCCTTCTTCTCCTTCTCCTCCTCATCCTCCTCGTCCTCCTCCTTCTCCCCCCTTCCTCCTCCTCCTCCTCCTCCTCCTCCTCCTCCTCCTCTCCTCCCTCCTCCTCCTTCTTCCTCGTCCTCCCTCCTCCTCCTCCTTCCTCCTCCTCTTCCTCCTCCTCATCCTCCTCCTCCTCCGCTTCCGCCCCCTTCCGCCGTTGCTTCCGCGCCCCGTCCGCGGGACAACCTCCTCGCCGAGGCCTCCCCGCCTCTCTCTTTTCCCCTCCCCCTCCCTTCCCTTGCCCTACCCCGCCGCCTCCGCCCCCCCAAGTAAGATAGTTTACTTCCGCATCCTTCCGCCAGCTTTCCGCCGGCTTCCGCCAGACCAAGAGACGACAAAATTGTTAATTTTGGGAGACAAGGGCGTTTCCGCTAAGTATGTACATATGTGTGTGTGAACGCGTAGAGTACAATTATATACGTAAAGGTACGTATGTATGTATGGATGGATGGATGGTTGGATGTGTGTGTGTGTATGTATGTCTGTATTGATGCATGTGTATGTATGTACGTGTGTAAGTGTGTGTGTGTATGCGTGTATGTGTGCATGCATGCGTGTATTTGTATGTATGTACGTGTGCATGTATGTATGTGTGTATGTACGTATGTGTGTATGTATGTGTGTGCATGCATGTATGAATGCATGCATGCATGCATGTATGTATGCATGTACGTGTGTATGCATGTATACATGTTTGCGTGTGTGTTTGCATGTATGTATGTGTGTATGTATATAATTATAGATGTACTTATGTATGTATGTATGCATGCATGTATGTATGTAGGTATGCGTGTATGCATGCATGTCTGTATGTATGTATGTGTGTATGTATGTATATATACATGCATGCATGTAGGTATGTGCGCATTTGTGTATGTATATATGTGTGCATGTAGGTGTGTACGTATGTATGTATGTATGTATACATGTAGTTGCATGCATGTGTGTATGTATGAATGAATGCATGCAGGTATGTATGTATGCATGCATGCATGCATGCATGCATGCATGCATGTATGCATGTGTGCCTCGTTCGATGGCATTCCCCTGTTTTCTCCGCTGCGGGGCGAGACAGCCTCAAAATTATTGCACGCACGTTCTAGCTTGTCATTAGCATGATCGGATTCTCCTCGAGTCTCGCCTGCCCATCCTTATCTTGCTCGCTCCAATGCCGCGCCTTACCCCGAGGATGGCGCCGCTTGGGATATGTCGTCGGAGCACAAGGGAGGCACGGGCGGTCTCCAAACGAGATCACGGCCACACGACCCTGCGGACCCCAAGCGAGAGCACAGCTGGACAATTCTGCAAGAAAGTCTGGTCGAAGACGCGGATTCTTCTTTTTGCAGGCTTAGAGGTTGACACCAACACCAATATCGGCTGTATTCTTCCACCGAGGCAAGAAGATCCCGCTCTCGGTGATGGTGGTGATATTCTGGCTTCCAAGGTGACCGAAACATTACCACCAACACCGAAATACAGGATCATCTGCCCCCCGTGGAGGCAACTTCTTGTGTTGGTGTTGGTGCCCATTTCCAGGCCTCCAATCTTTGTTTCGTTGTGAAGGGCATGAGTTGGAAGAGGGTCTTTGACACATCTTGGATTTCCGAAAGCGAGAAGATCAGGCAGTTGGTCACCCTGGAGCCTCGAGGTTTGTTGAGAGCTTCGCCACTCCAGGATCGGATCTTTTGTAAGTTGGTTGATCCTACCAGTTTCGACACCTGTGCTCCTATACTTCTCCTCCTCCTCCTCCTCCTCCTCCTCCTCCCTAGGGGGTGCCAACTACGTGATCGCATATTGCGACTGCGGACATGCCGGTGATCGCTCGTCGGGTGCTGGGTTTCACCAGCTTGCCTGAACGATTTGGTTTGATCGTGATCTCGGCTGATCACACGAGTGGGGACTACAGTCGGCAGCAGAATCAGCCAGTCACTGGGGAAACGACATTGAGGTCCAATGGGTTCCTGGCAGTTTTCCTTTGAGAGGCGTTCTGGAAAAGATGTCCTAGTGCGTCGACAACATATTTCGAAGGGGCGATTCCGCTTTGGGCATGAGGGCATGAAGGGAGTGAGAGACCCATTTGGACGTTCAGCTCTGTGGGCTTGCACCCCTGTTGCATACGACATCGAGGCCGTAACAGGGTCCTTGGATACAAATCTATGTCATGCGTTTACTGTGTGATAGAGCTGGATTGCTACATGTTTACTCTCCAGTTCCAAGGTTTTGTTTATTGTGCAGCCAGGGCGCTGACATGAGTACCATTTCGGGATCAGGAGGGGTCTTGGGCCTTGGGCCGCTCCTTAGAGCTATTCTGGATATCATAGGAATGGGGGGGTACTCTTGTGGGGATCTACAGTAGGAGCTCGACCGCAAGAAATCTTCCGCAAGAAACCCAACCCTGAGACCCCAGGACGTCCACTGGTTCTCACAGAATAGGCTTGCCCTATAGGATACTAATTGGTCCGTTGCCCCCCCCCCCTAATTCCCATGCCCCCCCTAATTCCTATGGCTATGCCTTTCCCATGGCACCCCCCCTTTTTCCAATGGCATTTGCTTACTTGCTCTTGCCTGTTTGCTCTCGCTTGCTTGCTCTTGCTTGCCCTTGCCTGCTTGCACTTCATCGCTGGTTCTTGCTTGCTTGTTATTGCTCGCTCGCGCTTGCTTGCTTCCGCTTGCTTGCTCCCGCTTGCTTGCTTGCGCTTGCTTGATTTTGCTCCTCCCGTTCTCCTCCCGTCCTGCTCCCGTCCTCCTTTCGTCCTCCTACCATCCTCCTCTCGTCCCCCTTCTGTCCTCCTATCTATTTGGAGTCAACGCTGGCTGATATTTGATATGGGAACGTCACGTTTTCCCGAATGGAACCATCGAAACCCAAGATACCCAGGGCTCCCTGGAGGCAAGCAGGTTGGTTCTTGGCGTGGGCTTCCTCTGTAACGGGCCTCGTCAAACAAGATTGTTTGGGGGTCTCGATGCTGGACCCGTTGTTGCACCGCTCTTGGGGGGGGGTCCCAGACGATCCGTCGAACACCTTTTTGACCCGCCCCCCGCAATTATGAGATTGGGGGTAGGTCGGCGAACCTATTCGTGGCCGAGACTCGCCGTGGCCAGGCCAGGAACGCATTTACGTTCCTTCTGGCGAAGGCTTGACGGCCAGTGCCGCCGACCATAAAGGCGGGACCGCCCCGGGATCTTCGCTGGCGACCCCCTCTGGGACTTGCCAGGACTGGGCGGGGCAAGGACAAGACTGCATTCTTTCTAGAGCGTTCTGGACATGCTCTGAGGAGGGTGCGGTGCCCGCTGCATCCTCCAAGACCGCTGGGTTACAGAGATCCCCGATGTGTCATTGTCCGATTCGATCCTTGTCTTGGCTTCGTCTGATGGGACCCTTTGGGGGGCGGCATTCTGCCCCAGGACCTTTCCCCCGCACAGCAGGGAACGGATAAGAGGACGGGGATTCTTTTTGATACAACTGACACGTTTTTTTCTTGTTCCTCGTTTCCTTCGGACTGGCGACGGTAGCGTCTTCCACACGCCGAAGGGTCGGCGGATTCAGCGTTCCTCATTGTAGCACGATGGCCGTATTCTGGAAGTGCCAGCCAAAGAATTCAGGGGTGGGCGGTGAGTGCTGAAGCAGGCCTTCCAAGATGCCTTGCCGCTGGGGCCCCGCCCAAGGCACATTCCTGGTCCAGTGGAAGCAGAACCATCCGATCAACGGCACCAAGCAGGCGCCATTGGTATGCAAAAGAGGTTTGCTGCTCCTACGTTGCGCACAGTTCCCATCTTGTCTGCCAATTCTCTCTCATCCTCGCTTTCCTTGCACAACCTCTTCCCCAATTCGTGCAGCTCCGTTGGTCTTTGTCTTACAATTTCCTCACCCATCCTTCCTCTCACCTTGATTTCGGGCTTACGCCACACCGCCGATCCCACAAGGGCCTTGTGGGACTGGCGGTTGTTGCGTGTTGCTCTGAGGGCCTTTTGAAGGTTTCTTGGGACTTTTTGGGGGTGTCATGGAGGCCTCTTGGGGGCCTTTTGGGGATTCGTAGGCTGACCTTCTCAGCATTCGCGTTGTACGCATGGGGACGCGGGCGAGAACCCACATATACAGACGGCGGGTATCTGGCAAAACACCCGAATAATGATTATCGAAGACGCCTCGGCGGATCACCGTCGCCCCTTGCCTTGTCGGACAGCGCCTCTGTGGCCAAACGCTTGTGTCTAGAGCTTGGTTAAGTTATCGGACCAGGTGGTCCCCGAGCCGCAGTGGAAAACTTTTCGGGGAACGGCGGGAGGAGCATGAAGCAGAGGATCAGGAAAGAGGATGATGATTAGGAGGAGGAGGAGGAAAAGGAGAAGGAGGCCTCCTGGAACCCTATTGAGCCACCTTTTATTCTAGCTTACAGTCGCATCACTCTCACGCGTCATACACGCGCACCCCCCGTGACGTGCCATGGCACGCACCCATTGAGACACGTGTAGTACGCGCACCCTCTGGGACGAGTTTCGCACGCACCCACTGGGACACGCACGTATGATTACACGCGCACCCTTGGGGACGTGCTCCGGCATGCACCCATTGGGACATGTGTAGCAGTGGTACTCGTGATATGACTTTGGATCCCGCTGGGTTTTTTGGGGGGGCCTCCTTGTCCATCGTAGGGCGTTCCTAGCTCGTCCGACGTCGTCGGAAGCCGTCTACGGGTCTCTCTCAACCGACTTGGGGCCCTCTTTGGGCGCTTCAAGGCCGTTTTGGAGACGGTTTGGGGTGTCTTGCAGGCCTCAGGGGCTTCATTTTGGCAGTTTTTCGGTGTTCTTGCCCGTGACACGCCGTCGGAAGGTGTCTCGAGGGCATATTGGAACTGTCGAAGGTATATTGCTCTTTTCCAAGTCGTTGTGGAAAGATTTCGGGAACATGTCGGCGATGAGAAAAACGGAAAAAAAGAAGAACAGTCCCGAAATACAGAACTGGCTCGTAAAACTTCCCTTGGTGTTATCTCGGAGGTTTGGACTCTTCAGCCGTTTTGCGTAGTCTTGGGGCCGTCTTGGGCCATGTCGGGGCCGTGTGAGGCCGTCGTCCATGCGCGCTGAGCCGGTTTGGGGAATACGTTGGTTTTCCGCCAAAGCCTGCTCGCTTCATGTTGGGGATTTCGTTGGCATGTGCTCCCAGACGTTGTTTATACATGATTCGGGGAAAGCTCGCGGTGGAGCGTTCGTCCATAGGCTAGCCTAACAGAAGCACTGGTCATACAACGTAAGTAACCCACACAAACCTGTAAAAGCACACTAAACCATATTTGCGACTACTGATGTTCAGAAGATGCCGCGTTGGGCTTTCAGGCCCAGGAACCGTCATGGGTCGTCGTCCATACGTATTGGGTTGTTTCGGGGTTGCCATGCGTCTCCGTCGAAGCCAGCTTGATTGTCGTTGAATCGTTCCACCTTGGGTTGTTCCCGAAGCTGCCCACACGTGATTCAGGGAACTCTCCTGGGGTAGTTGGCGCAGCCACGTCGGCGAGAACGCCTTGTTGACGCGCCTTACTTTCGCTGCCTCTCTGAATCATGTCCGCCCGTAGTTGCACGCGGGTTGGAGTTTTCTTGAGCCTGGAGAATCACCGAACAAAGTTTTATTCCGAGACAGCGCATGGCCATGCCTAGCTCGTCCGCGGGTCGCCCCGTTTGGACGCCCAGGGGACCGTCGGCGCGAGGCTCGCGCAGGGCTGGCGCGGAGCTCGGATGGGCAGCTGGGCAACGCGCCCCCGAGCCGCCGCGGGAATTTTTCGGGCGACCCACGGGCAAGAAAGGATAAGACGAAGCAGAAGACGCAGGACAGTAATCGGAGGTTGGGAAGTTGGGGGGTGAGATCGAAGTGGAACGGAGAGCCCCCACAGGGAAATCGGTTTCGGCTTCGTGTTCGTACGTGCCGTGCGCGCGGGCGAGACGAAGCTGCGTGGGCGGGCCGCAGAGGAAAGTCTCCTGTGGCTGAGGCGCGGTCGGGCCAAATAATTCCCCCCCGGCAAACGGGGACTCCGCGCTGGTGTCCCGCTGGTGTCCCGATGAGTCTCCTGTGGCTGAGGCGCTGCCGGACCAAATTTTTACCGACCGGCAAACGCGGCCGCGCGGTGTCCCGCCGGTGTCCCGCTGGTGTCCCGGTGTCCCGCTGGTGCGAAAACGATAGTGGGACCGATAGTGAGATCGATTGTGAGATCGATTGTGAAATCGATAGTGAGATCGATCGTGAGATCGATCGAGTGAGATCGATGGTGAGATCGATTGTGGGATCGATAGTGAGAACGATCATGGGATCCCTGGTGAGATTGGTTTTCACCCATGATTTGACACATCCCATGCTCTTGCAAACATCCCACCCACCCACCCGCAACTTGGTTTGCAAAACCTCTTGAGACCGTGACGGTAGGTACCAAATGGCACTTGGCAATGACACCGACGCCGACGACGGACGACGACGACGGCGATGACGACGACGACGCCGACGTCGACGACGACGACGACGCCGACGCCGACGACGACGGAGACGACGACGACGTCGCTAACGAAAACGACGACGAGGGTGGAGGGAGGACGACGACGGCGACAACGACGACAACGACGACGTCGACGAGGGAGGAGGGAGGACAGCGACGACGCGAACGACGAAGAAGGAGGAAGGACGGCGACGCCGACGATAACGACGAGAGAGGAGGGAAGACGACAACGACGACGACGACAACGGCGACGAAATAGGAGGGACGACGACGAGACGACGGAGGACGACGACGACGACGAGGGAGGAGGAGGAAGGACGACCACGGCGACAACGACGACGGAAACGACCACGACGCCAAAGAGGACGACGACGACGAACACGAGGAAAGACAGAGGACGACGTAGGCGATGACGACGACGATGACGCGGGAGGAGGGAGGACGGCGACGACGACGACGACGACGACGCAAGAGTGCCCGCGCACGCTTTTGTTGAAAATCCGTGTTGCGAAACCTTGTGTTTTTGTAGGGTTTTTGGACACACGATTTTGACATCCTTCCGAAACCGATGGGTTTTGAAGGATTTCGGCATACGCGCGCGACGACGCGCGCGTCTGCACTTCGTCCAGTCTTTTGCAGAGGACTCTCGCGACGGCACACGCGCAAGGGCGTTCGAGAGATTTCGACATGAGCGCGCGCGAAGCCCGTTTGGTATCATTTTGTGGAAATCTGGAAAACCGACAGTTTTCTTAAGATCTCGCAAGAGCTCGCGCGTAAGCTTTTTTAGCAAATCAGTGTTGCGAAACCATGTGTGTTTGCATGTTTTTTGGAAGCTGGATTGCCACATCCTTCCGGCACCGAAGGTTTTTGAAGGATTTCGGCATGCGCGCGCGACGACGCGCACGTGCGCACTTCGTCCCACTGTTTGCAAGGGTTTCGCGAAACAAGTCTTATGCTAGAGCAAAACATGTCACCACATAGTGTTTTTAGAAGGGAACCTCAGGGGGGGAACCCGGCTGGCCTGGGACATTGTGATTTCATATGTAGGATGGGCATGTGGTCAGAATCATATATGGTTTACATACCCGAAAAGGGGGGCGATAACGCCGGGGGGGTAGAGTTTTTTCCTTTTAAAGCCACTCCGACGGTCTTGACGCTGTCCTCTCCACTGCTCGTGCAAACATCCCACCCTCCCACCCGCAATTTGGTCGCATGACCTCTTAAGACAAGACCGTGACGGTAGGTACCACATGGCACTTGGCCACGACACCGACGCCGACGACGACAGCGACAACGACGACGACGGCGCCGCTGATACCGATTACGACGACAACGACGACGTCTCCAACGCCTTCGACGACGACAACGACGACGACGGCACCGACAACGGCGACGACGACGACGACGATGACAACGCCGCCGACGACGACGACGACGCCACGACGACGACGCCGACGCCGACGATGACGACGAAGACGACGACGACGTCGCCAACGAAGACGACGACGAGGGAGGAGGGAGGACGGCGACGGCGACAGCGACGACAACGACGACGTCGACGAGGGAGGAGGGAGGACGGCGACGACGCGAACGACGAAGAAGGAGGAAGGACGGCGACGCCGACGACGACAACGACGAGGGAGGAGGGAAGACGACGACGGCAACGACGACGACGACGACGACGACGACGACGGCGACGAAATAGGAGGGACGACGACGAGACGCCGACGACGGAGGACGACGACGACGAGAGAGGAGGAAGAAGGACGACCACGGCGACAACGACGACGGAAACGACCACGACGCCAAAGCAGACGACGACGACGAACACGAGGAAAGACACAGGACCACGTAGGCGACGACGACGACGATGACGCGGGAGGAGGGAGGACGGCGACGACGACGACGACGACGCCGCAAGAGTGCGCGCGCACGCTTTTGTTGAAAATCCGTGTTGCGAAACCTTGTGTTTTTGTAGGTTGTTTGGACACACGATTTTGACATCCTTCCGAAACCGATGGGTTTTGAAGGATTTCGGCATACGCGCGCGACGACGCGCGCGTCTGCACTTCGTCCAGTTTTTTGCAGAGGATTCTCGCGACGGCACACGCGCAAGGGCGTTCGAGAGATTTCGACATGCGCGCGCGCGAAGCCCGTTTGGTAGCAGGTTGTGAAAATCTTGAAACACCTATGGTTTTCTGAAGATTTCGCAAGAGCTCGCGCGCAAGCTTTTTTAGCAAATCAGT